CATGATCTCACGGTTCATGAGTTCGAGCCCTGAGTTGGACTGGCTGCTGTCAGCACGGAGCCTGCTTCAGATCCTCTGCCCCCCTCTCTTTGCCCTCCCTCCACTCATGCTCTCTTTCTCTCAAAAATAAATAAACATTAAAAAAAAAAAGAGTGAGAGAAAACCCAGGAACTTGGGAAATTACTACAGAGTGAATTTGTATATTCACTAGGCCCACTATGAGTTGGATTTAAGCCAAAACTCCACTTATCATTTACTCTTCTTTAGCCCTTGCTCTGACTGTGGGCCACAGTGTTGCTCTGAGTCCCCACAATTAGTGCTAGCTCAGAGCCATAGTCCAATAATCCCTGGACAGTGTGGATTTTTATTTCTCCACCGAAGTTACCTTGGGAAATCACTGCAAGTCCTTTTAGGGGATAGCTAGGAAGGTTTACAGTACATAATTATAATGTTACCATAGCAGCCTTCTTCATGGTGCTTGGTCTCCACTTCATCCTAGGGACTCTGGGGATATGACCTGCCCGGTTGTGACACTCTCATGGTGACCCAACTTTCTGTTTGCCAGACTTCTTTTCATTAAATGGGTCATGCTTCTGTTTCAGTCTTGGGGCTCCCATGATCTAGTAATCACCACCAAAGATCACTGTTGATGAACCATTTTGATTGGCCCTCTGCCCTGTAGTTCTCTTCCAGAGCACGGTTAGCAGTGAGCTCTGTTTGCTATGAAACAAACTCCTCAAAGGCCTAGAGGCTTAAAACAACAACTATTTGTTTATTTAACAGTTATTGGCTGTTGGCCGCTTGGGCTGGGCTATTCTGCTTGTGTCGGCTGGACTCTCGTGTGTCTGTGGTCAGCTGCTGCTGGTGGTCCTGGGGACACGACCTCGAGGGGTTGGTTGGCTATCAGTTGGGGCTACAGGGGTGGTTGGGGCATAAGGTTCATCTGCATTGCTTACAAGGTGGCAGCAAGTTTCTAAGATTAGCAAGAGTACACGCCCCGGTGCATTCGCACCCTCCTCGCTTTCGCTTGCTCTGTTTCTGCCAAGGTCCGGTGGACCACAGCAAGTCATGCAGCAGATTCAAGGAAACAGAAACGAGCCACCTCATCAACAGATGAGAGGATCTGCAGAGTCAATGCAAAGTTAGGGATTCAGGGAGGGGAAACGTTCGTCACTATTTTTATTCTCTGCCACAGTCAACAATTCCAACCCTGCCCCACCCCGTTCTGGAGCACTTGCTCTTTTAAACACATCACTCAATTGTTTTTTAATGTTTATTTATTTATTTTGAGAGGGAGAGAGGGACAGCAAGCAGAAGAAGGAGAGAGAGGGAGAGAATCTCAAGCAGCATCCATGCCCACATGAAGCTCCATCCCGTGAACCATGAGATCATAACCTGAGCTGACATGAAGAGTCGGTTGCTTAACTGACTGAGCCACCCAGGTGGCCCTACTCAATTTCTTTAGAGAAACATTGTCCATTTCCATGCGGGAGATAAAGTCCTCCGCTAGGTGGGGGGCAGTGGAGGGGAGGTGGTGGAAATGCACTTATTCAGCCATTTTTCACATAGCTTTTAAATAACTGGCTCCCTTAGTGCCATCCCCCTACCCCCCCACCCCCACTTTGACCCTCCATGCCTGGAAAGTGAGGGGGGCTTGTTCCATGAAACCGACCTGTGCTTCTGCCCTGCCCAGGCTTTGCCTGAGATACACTGGGCTGCGGCGCCCTCCGCATGGACTGGTTCTTCAGATCGAGCCAATCCGCATTCATTTCGGGAATTTCTCAAACTCTTGGTCTTTTATGCTCACCTCTTTCACTAATTTTATGAATGAATTTACGTTGCACTTCTTTCTAATTACTTCTATTTGATTTGGAAGGGTAAACACCTGTGTTCAATTCAGTGTCTTCTACAAAAGCCTCTGATTACATTTAAATCTATTACCTCTAGACCAATATCGCAGTTAAAACAATATATTCTTCCTGTATATATTAAGAGTGGGTAATTCAGGTAGAAGAATTAAGGTATATGCCCTCTATCGTGGGTAAGAAGAGCCAGGAGATTTGTGTAACTTCCTAAAATTTTGGCCTGTTGCTACTATTTCATATTCAGTGTGTGGTGTGAGGGAGGAGGCATTTCCTTTGTTTAATGCATCACCTTAAGCTATTTTGTCTACTTTGGCTTCTCCTAGGGCTATGGTTGAGATTTTATCATTATCAGTCTGCTTGTGCTGTCCTGCCTGCCTTTGGAAAAATTTTAATATAAAATAAGCAAAAGGGGGGCACGTGGGTGGCTCCATTGGATAAGCATCTGACTTCGACTCAGGTCTAAGACGGTTCCTGGGTTTGAGCCCCGTGTCGGGCTCTGTGTTGACAGCTCAGAGCCTGAAGCCTGCTTCAGATTCTGTGTGTCACTCTCTCTCTCTGTGCCCCTCTCCTGCTCATACTCTGTCTCTCTCCCTCAAAAATAAATAAACATTAAAAAATTTATATATATATATATATTTTTTTTTTTTTGAGAGAGAGATATAGAGAGAGAGACAGCATGAGCAAGGGAGGGTCAGAGAGAGAGGGAGATACAGAATCTGAAATAGCCTCCAGGCTCTGAGCTAGCTGTCAGCATAGAGACTGACGTGGGGCTCAAACCTAGGAACCGTGAGATCATGACCTGAGCCGAAGTCAAATGCTTAACCTACTGAGCCACCCATACGCCCCCATAAAAATTTTTAAACAAGCAAAATGGCCAGGACCTGGGCAGCCTGAGGGGCAGGGAGACAAGGGAAGGAGAGGAGAGGCCAGCCTAACTATTGACTTCCTCACTGTCACCACTGCCCTTGGGGTCTCCACGACCCCTAAGCCTGACTGTTCATTGGTACAATCTTTTTACTGCGGAGTCAGAAATGCTGAATAAAATTAAGCTTGTAAAACTCTGACACAGTAATTCCTTTTATGCAAATGTGCAAAAGTATATGCACATATAAATGTTTAACCTTGTTAGTAATCACAATATGAAAATTAAAACTGTGAGATATCTTTTCACCTATCAGAATGTCAAAGATTTGAAATAAAATTAATGCCCATTATTAGGAAAGTTGAAAGTTTTCATGGGTACATTAGTATAAGCTGTGTGGAAAGCAGTTCTAACAACAAGTATCAAAATCCATAAACAGATGAAAACCTTTTTATTTTATTTATTTATTTATTTTTTAAATGTTTTATTTATTTCTAGGAGAGAGAGAGAGAGAGACAGCGTGAGCAGGGGAGGTTCAGAGAGAGAGGGAGTCACAGACTGAATCAGGCTCCAGGCTCTGAGCTGGCAGTCAGCACAGAGCCCGACGCGGGGCTCGAACCCACAAACCGCGAGATCATGACCTAAGCGAAAGTCGGACGCTTAACCCACTAAGCCACCCAGGCGCCCCGTTGAAAACCTTTTTAAAATGAATTTATTTTTAGGTAATCTTATACCCAACGTGGGCTTCAAACTCACAACCCCAGGATCAAGAGTGGCATGGTCTACCAACTGAGTCACCAGGCACCCCAGATGAAAACCTTTTGATCCAAGAATTCCACCTGTAGTAATGTAACCCAGGGAAATATCAGAGAAGCATACAAAGATGTGCATGCAAAAATATTAATCTCAACATTGTTTATGCTCATGAAAAATCTGAAACCATCCAAATACCCATCATAATTATTGTTGGCCATCCATAAGGAATAATACACAAGCCACAAGGTATCAACATAAGATATATTGTCAGACAATTGTCAGACCAATATGTTTATGATTCCATTTTTTGTTTTGTGACTTGTGTGTGATATATGTATATATGCGTTGCTATTAATATATGTAAATACTTGATAAAATGTTAATAGTCTTTCTGGGGGTTGTGACCTGAAGAATTGTACTTTTCTCATAATATATATTTATAATGTTTTAATGTTTTACAAGCAATGAGTAAAATAATATTGAAAGATTAAGAAATTGAGAAAAGTTGCTCAGCTTCACTGATAATTATATGGAAGTTAGAGAAGCAACGAGATGTAATTATTGCCTTTCACATTGGCAGAAAAAATTCCGATTCAATGTTGCATAGAGTCCTGGTCTCTAAACTTCTTTGATCAATCACATATATTAAAAAGTAAAACTTTTTGACCTTGAGCTCTCACTCTGTCTCTCTCTCTCTCTCTCTCTGTATGTTTATGTGACTGTTTTTTATAAATAAAGATGGGCTTATAGTCCTCATTCGCTTCTGCCACTTGAAAATTCATGCATACAATGATGAATACCGCAAAGAAAAACTGGAAACATTCAGAATGTTCACTCAATAGGGGGCTGGTTAAGTAAATTATTGAATATTACTAGTCAACATCTGTATTGGGGTAGTGACCAGTCGTTCAAGACAGTGAGGTACTTCTATATTATTGGCATGGTAGGAGCACTATATGAGCATATCAAGTCTAAAAATATATACAGAAAACGTTAACAGTGGTTCATGGCGGGGGCGGGGTGAGTAATGTGAAACTAAGCAGAGACTCTGATTTCCATTGTTCCAATTGTGTAGCTGGAAATCTCTAACAACTTGTTTGTATCACTTTTCCCATTAGAAGAATACTAAAGATCTAAAACAAAATTTTCCAAAGTCGCTTGAATCATTCAAACAGAACGCACACATTTTACAGTTGAGAAAGTGAGTAGGTGGTGTGTGTTCATACTCGTTCACAGTTGAGAACTGAAAAAATTCCTAAAGGGATTTGAGGCAACAGAAAACGGGTTCACGCTTCTAAGCTATTCAAGATGATGTGTCTGGAGGTAATTTTCTAACGTTTTGAGCAAGTTTTGTTTTGCTTCCGTTAAAATTTAAAACACTTCAGGAAAAAAAGAAGAAGAAGAAGAAGAAGAAGAAGAAGGAACACCAGGAGGAGGAAGCTGGGTCTCCCGGGAAAGCCGCGCGCCCCTCCCCCCGCCTCCCCCGCCTCCCATGGCTTTGGTCCTCCCGGGTCCCCCTCCCCTCCGCGTCCTGGGGCTCGCGATCTCCAGCGCTCCGCCTGCCTTGAGGCAGCTCAGCTTGGTGGCTGTCGCGGAGCACCAACCATCGCCGATCGCCGCGGCTGGAACGCGGCCGGGAAGGAGGGCGTCCGCCGGGCAGTGCAGCTGACATCGGGCGGCCACGCGGTCGGCCTTCTGCGCGGATAGCGGCCGCGTGCGTCCCTCGGTGCGCCCCTCGGTGGGTCCGTGCCACCGGCTGAAAGTCCTGGATTCCCGGCACCAAATGGGAGGCTACACCAGACCGATGGCGGCGGCGGCGGCGGCGGCCCTGTCGGGCCCAGGGGTGCGGCTGTCGCGCTCGGCGGCGGCCCGCGGCTCGTACGGCGCCTTCTGCAGGGGGCTCACGCGCACGCTGATCACCTTCTTCGATCTGGCCTGGCGGCTGCGCACGAACTTCCCCTACTTCTACGTGGTGGCCTCGGTGATGCTCAACGTCCGCCTGCAGGTACACATTTAGAGAAACTAACTTTGTGGCATTGGGGGTGGTGGTGATCCGGTGTGATGGCTGGTTTCCACCTACCGGGTCGCCAGCCCAAGATCGAAGCGGCCAGTTCGACTCGCGCTTGCAGACTTGCCAGTCTGTCTTTTCAGTCACTGCCTTGTCTTTTCATGTAAATGAGGGCTAGAAATCAGCATTTGCACAAAGCCCACTGTATAACCAAGAAAGCCTAGGAGAGAATGAAAAAGCTGACTCTCTAAGAAATAGATAAATCAAGGAACGGGGAAGAACTTTAAACTCTGAAAATCCTCAGAAATACTTGAGAAGCTCTTGCATCCATAAAAACACAAAATGGCCCGAACAGTAGGAAATGACAATGGTCACTGGACGCCCCAGGGAGAAAACAAGAGGAAAGGTTACTGAGGACTTAAAGGTAAATTAACTGCACAACACTGGTCCAAGTAGGAGTCAAATCTTCCAAAGGAGAACAAGATGTGAACACACTTCCCACTGCATGGAATGAATTCTGAGCAATAGATGGACTGAGTTAGAAGCTGGAGGAAATTCATCCTATCTGAAAGGCATACATTTCTTCATCCCCAAAGAAAAGCCAATGGCAAACGGAAACTGCAGGGGAAAACAAACATTTCAAACCCTACAAGGAAGGCATGCTTCAAATATAAAGCAACCTCAGCTAGGGCCAGGTTTGGACAGTTGCCAGGACTGGAAGAATGGGAACCCAATTGGCACGTGCGCGGTGACTCTGCGGTCACAGAGGAGACCAGTCACCTGGTTCAACTCAGCTCTTCAGTGAACGATATTTGAATAATCATTTCAATGGAAATAGAAGTTATGGTGTTCCATTTTTAGACTAAATCTGTGAGCTAAGAAGGGAAGACAATAATGGTTGTAGAACCGGAGGGGAATTAGCCACTTGGACTGAGTCCGGTCCCGGCAACAAGCAGGCGGATGGAGAGGAGGAAAGGGAACAGTGGTGTTATTCTCAGAAAGCAGGAAGTTCTGATTCTGTCTCTAGTTGAAAGAATAAGGCAGGTTTAGGGACTGTGTTATTAAAGTCAACAAAGTAGCCAACAGGGGATTTAAAAATAGTGATTCAGCCATTTTCGGGGGGCGGAGGAGGTTCTGGGAGGGCAGGAAGTCAAAAAATTCCTCCTGTTATCAAATCAAAAAATAGCAATCAAAGCATATTCTCAAGGAAGAAAGGAGGTAACCACTAACAGACATGTGTAAACGTTTTCGTCGCTGGCTTGGGGGAACTGAGTTGAAACAAGATGGGTAGGGATTTACTACTTTTCATTATATGCTTTTTTTACTATTTGATTTTTTTGAAAACTGTGTATGTACCGCTTTGATTCAAAATGAAAACTTATTGGGGCGTCTGGGTGGTTCAGTCAATTGAGTGTCCAACTATCCCATTTCAGCTCAGGTCATGATCCCAGAGTCGTGGGATCGAGCCCTGTGTTAGGCCCACGCAGAGCATGGAGCCTGCTTAAGATTCTCTCTCTCCTTCTGCTCCTCTCCCTGTTCATTCTCTCTCCTGAAAATAAAAATAAATAAATAAATAAATAAATGCAAAATTTCAGCCTCCTAAATCAGAATCTGCATTTAAAAAAATTAAAAATTACTAAAAACTGAATTTGCTGCAATTAGAAGGAAATTTGGGGAAGGGGGAGCTGGAGAATGGCACATGAGGCCAAGTACCTTCTACCTTTCTTTCTTTGTGTATGTATATCCTAACTTGTCCCCGAATGATCACGTGACATATGCTTTCTTTGCATTCCAAACAGACCTTAGAACCCAAGGCAAAACTTTAAAACTAAAAATGGCCAGTAATCTTCAGGTAGCCCAGAGCTTCCTCACTCTCTGAAACTAAACAGGCAAATTTCTGCAATGTTGTAGTTAAGCTAAAAAAAAAAAAAATGCAGGGACACCTGGGTGGCTCAGTCGGTTAAGCGTCCGACTTCAGCTCTGGAGTTGTGAGTTTGAGCCCTGTGTCGGGCTCTGTGCTGACAGCTCAGAACCTGGAGCCTGCTTCGGATTCTGTGTCTCCCTCTCTCTCCCTCCCCCCCTCCCCGGGTCATGTTCTGTCTCTCTCTGTCTCAAAAATAAACAAACATTAAAAACAAATTTTAAAAAAAGATTTATTTTATAAAATTTATAATGTTTCAAAACTGTTTTCCAGTTTTATTGAGATCTGTGGCCTATAATGTTGTGTAAATGTTAGCTGTGTAGTGTGTTGACTTGATCCACTTCCACATTTTGATATGATCACCACCAGCATTCGCTGAAACCTCTGTCACATCACAGAATTGCTGTTTCTGTGGTGAAAACGTTCAAGATTAGTCTCTTCTCAACTTTCATGTATACGACAGAATATTGGTAACTACAATCACAATTCTGTGCCTTAGATCCCTAAAGTTCATGCATCTTCTAACTGGAAGTTTGTATCTCTCGACCAACATGTTCTCAACACACCCCCCTGCCCCCTCGCCACCACCCCGGCCCCTGTTAAACACCTATTTGGTGATTTGGTGCCTGTCGGTTTGACTGTTTTAGATTCCACATATAAGTGGGATCATGTAGAATGCTGATGGACACTTGGATGAGTTCCCCAAGATGTTTAGACAAGGTGCTTACATTTTAGTATTGGGTCATAATAGCGAGAGACTGGAAATAAACCAAATGCCTAACATTAGTGTAGGGGTGCAGGGAATGAACATTAATTTGAGTCAAAAGCAATCCAAACCCAGTGTATGCAGGAAAAACCCTTCACGTCCCCCTCAATTGCCTGTCTGTACCAGGAAGAGAGCTCAGAACAGAAATTCCTCTTAAGAAACTTCTCTGCATAACAGGGCGACCTTTGTTTTCCAAACATCTCCCCCCTCCTGCTAAGGGTCTTCCTCCACTTTTATTTTTAGGCCCTATCCCTCTTCCTAGCTCATTTAAACCTCATGTTGCCTCACTGTTTTTGGAATCTCAGGTCTGTGTGGATTCACCTTATATCTGCTATTAAATTTGATTTACTATTTACCTTTCTCGTATCGATTTGATTCTTAGTCTGGCAAGAAGGACCTTAAAGGACAGAGGAACTTCCCAACTGTAAGAGCTTGGTTAAATAAAAATATCACAACTATATAATGGAGTACTGTGTAGCCATCAAAAAGGGATTCTAGGGATGCCTGGGTGGCTCAGTCGGTTAAGCATCCGATTCTTGATTTTAGCTCAGGTCATGATCTCATGGCTCATGAATATGAGGCCCACATCAGGCTGTGCACTGACAGCATGAAGCCTGCTTGGGATTCTCTCTCCCTCTCTCTCTGTCCCTCCTCTGTTCATGCTCATGATCTCCTTCACAAAATAAATAAACTTAAAAAAATAATTCTATTTTATCGAAGTGGAATGAATCTAATAGGTGGGAAGTCATGTCACAAATGGCTTATGACTGAACCAGAGGGGAAACACACACACACACACACACACACACACACACACACGTACATTCACACCCTCCACTTATAGAGAAATAAGAATACTTAGAAACATTACTGCACACTTAACATAAGCCCCGCAATGTTCTAAACACTTTATATACATCATTGCATTTAATCCTGGCAACAACCCGGAGGCAGCAGCTGTTCTCAGGAGAGGAAACAAGCACAAAGAAGTATCGTGTCAGAGTGATGAAATACTCCAGACAATATTATTTTTCCTAATCTGAGACATTCATTGTGGTGATTCGCTTTTAGTCGTGTTTTTATTATTGAAATTGTGAGACTTTACCATGTTTGGTTTGAAATTCACTATCCTCTTGGATGCCACAGATGCTGGAATGTGGGGTGAGCCGAGAGCAGGGCCCTTGCTTCCTGTACGCCCAGTCCACTGCCCCCATAGCACCAGTCACCCCACGGAGGGTCCGGCGGAGCTCAGTCACTTGAGGAGGATTTGGATTCTAACTGAGGAAACCTCTTTGAATGCCACATGAAAAGCATTCTTTATAGCAGATATTCAAATTAAGGCAAATTGGTTTCAACAGAGACGTTGTAACCAATTATATACCCCTTTCTTCTCAGGAAACACCTCTTTTTGCTCATTATTGAAGATCAAATAAACACATTTCTAAACAAGTCACAGTTGAACATTTTAACTTGCAAAGAGCAGGGGCTTTTGGTTTAACTTTTCAAATGATTTCCCCTAGTTCACTGCAGGGATCATTTCTCTCATCCCACAGATTAAAAAAAAAAAAAAAAAGATAACCAGTGTAACTACAGCATCCTCTGATTTATTAGCCTGTTGTCTTCCATGCTCATCAGACCCACAAGAGCTGAATACCTCTGGTATCCTTTAGCATAGGCTTATAGTAGAGTCGGATGCAGTCGTCCTGAGCACTGCTGCCACCACGCTAGAGCAACAGAAAGTATCCTTTAACCCAGACTTTCCTACGAAATTCTCTGAAGGCACCAGATTGGAGGGAGCTCCTCTCTTAATGCCAAATATTTTCCACCCTGACTCTATTATTTCCCCCTTCCGAGTCCTCTCCTGCTATGACCAAACACCTGTCTGTACAGACACAGGTGCGTACTCCCCACCCTGGACTTCCTCAGCCTGAGCTTTCTTTTGCGGCCCTTCTTTGGACGCAGTTCCTTGACTGCCGTCAGACTCAGACTGGTTCTGGTCACTTCAATGACTAGTGGCATAGATACCCTTCTCCAGCAACTCAAGGAGACTGTATTCTAGAAGCCTTGTCCTCAGGGTAGGATGGAAATGACTGGAGAGTTGTAAGCATTGTCTTTTAAGACCTGACTTACCATAAGCTGCCCCCCCCCCCCCCGCCTTTGGGTGTTTTTACTGCAAATCTAAGAGTTTCGCTTGAAATCCCTCCAGAAAAGTGCTTGAGAACCTGGAGATCAGGATTATAAAGCCAAATTTTGTTGAACCAAAGAAGCTGAATGATTCTGGGCAAGGTAACTAAAGTCTCGAAAGGTAGACGCTCCAGGACGAGCAAGGATATCTAATACTCCAGGGTTTTGGTGGATGCGAATGTCTTTCCATCACCTGTATTTCTACCCCAAATACTCCTGTGCCGTGGAGTAGTGAGTCCCAGTGATTTGGGGCAGTTCCCCAAAGGTGGGGGTGTTAAGTAGAAAAATAATGTAGACAGTAATCACGTTATATTCCTTGTATTCTTAGCCTGCACAAACACCCTTCTCCCATTCAGAGGATTCCAAAAATACTCCCTCCTGGCATAACTTAATTACTCCATGTACAACCAAGAACTACCCATATAAGCATTCCTCGTAATCCTGGTTGTAGATGAGATCATGGGGCCTCTGTTTATAGTTCAAGTTCTCCCAGCGGTGACTCTTAAGTTCTCTAGTTCTGGCATTATCCCAACTGGATACTGACATTCTGCAATGATGTGACCAAATGGTGAATCCATCACCACCACTGTATCCCTACTTACGAGACTAAAGAAGAGGTGAGAGAGTTGAAAAAGTAAATAATCATGAGAAAAATATGGGTAGAGGGTACAGTCCTCATTTCTGCGATGGCCACGAGGTGGCCCTGTCATTTATGATTTCTCCATCGATTTCACGTTCTTTTCGCCTTTTTTTTTTTACATTTTTAAATGTTTTTTATTTATTTCTAGGAGAGTATTTTCGCCTTTCTTACTGGGGAAGCTCAGTCCTTCATTCCTGAGGAGTCTGAGCCCTTGATGGTCCTTTGTAGGGTTGTGATGCACGTAGGGATTCCCCGAGTCTCATCCATATTCCTCCTTGTCCTCATTTTCCTATAGCACGGACACCATGATCACCTGTTTGGAGTGGCTCCAGGAGCTAAGAGTGGCTTCAAATTTGGTGGGACCACTGTTTCATACCACGCTGGGTGTTTCTTCTAGGGACCTAAAACTTCTAAACTAGCAGAGTTGTAGGAGCGAGAAGTAAAACGGTTGCAGATGGGTCAGGTGTAATGACCTTTAGTCCCACCCTCCATTCCCTGGCTTGCAAATCTTGGTAGTGGGAGAAACAGCACCATGTATTGACTGCTGGTTCATACTATTTATTACATCCTAACAGCCTCTGCTGTGCTTCTCCTATCAGGGCTCACCACAGGCTCCTTACATCATACTTATTTACCCCCAAACGTTTTGGGCACCATTGGATCTGCTAGATGATCAAGGCCAAGGCACAGACTTACTAGCATGGCTGCTTACATCAGCCAGAGAGCCTGTTTTCGCTGTCGGTCCACGTTAGCCTGTGGGTGGTAAGGATAACATCTGCATAAGTCTTGGATGGTGGCAAAAATCTCTGCAATCCCTGTAAGGATTAGCTATCAAATTTTACTTGCACTGTTGATAAGGAGGTGGAGCTCTA